GAAATTACTTAGAAAGTCTTATGTTAGGTATGTGGAATTTTCCATCTTTTTCCTCTATGGATTGAAGTTTATTTTGTTCATGAAATGAAACATGTCCTCCATACACCAGGTAGCTACAGTGACTCTTTGTTGTACAAGCACTGCTTCAGATGTAAACAATTACCCAAAGACTTACAGAAACAAACAAATATCAGTCCTGCTGATGGTTCAAGACCCTTATGGCTCTGTCCAGCTCTCCTAGAGTAAATCTGGCAGCAAACCTTCTAGAAATGGCATGTATTGATGTGCCATTGTGATTGTTCGGCCACTAAGTTGGCCTCTGCAACCTCTGTAGGGTCTAGGTATCGCCTCACACTACTAGTAATGACACTGACCCTAGTCGCCAAAGCAGCTGAAACTGATTAACATCCACGTATACATACACACCCCACAGGGGGGGGAAAAGGAGGAGCAAGACAAGGATCTGTCACGGAAGGACAGGCCCCTGCACGGTATCTACCAGCGCTAGATAGAAGAAGTGGCAGATATCAAGAAATTCTACTAATGGCTGAACAAAGATGGACTGAAAGACAGCACAGAAGCGCTAATAATGGCAGCACAAGAACACAAGATGGGGTCGCCAACACCAGACAAAACTGCATGTAAGGCTATGCAAAAATGCCCAACGACAAACTGGTGATGGCTAACCAACCAGCCATAGTAGTGATGGACAAGCAGAGGAAGAGGATTATAGTAATAGATTTAGCTATACCAGGTAATAGCAACATCGGGAAGAAGGTGTATTTTAAAAGAAGAGAAGTGAAAGAGCAGAAACGTAAATGGTTTAGGTTAATTCTAGTTTAAAGTTTGGGCTGAGTTATAATACACACACTGGTTAGATGTGATTAACAGTTTGGCAAAGTTTCATTTAGGATTAAAATACTGATTCAAATCATTGTTTATTGTTGGAGGATACAAGGTTGGGCATAGTATTAAAACACTAGAAGCAAAATATAAAAAGCCTTTATTAGCAGGCTGCTCTGTGCTCCTCTACCTAAAAGCAGTTCTCTTTAGACCACATGAATGTTGTAACTTTTTGGACTAAAATGTATTTCAAAATGCTCCTCATCTCTATCAACTATCTGCTGAGCATGTTGCACAAATTCTGGTGTCAACCTGTAAACATGTGAAATAACCTCTTCAGTCCTCCCACCAAAATTTTCCAAGCTCTACAACCATTTTGAGGCTCTACAATATTGACTACTGTCATGTTGTCATGCCCTCCATCATAAAGCTGTTTTGGTTAAGCCTCTGTTGAACTTCCAAAGAAGCAGTAATTGGCAATCCAGGGCCAAGTCCATTTTCACATACAGCCTCATGTCCCAGCACGCTGGTGGCAGATGCCTTTGCTGTTATTGACATACTTAACACTCAGCAGTGACACTCATATACACGGTTATCCTTTTGTTGATTTCACTCACTGCCTGATGTGGATTAAATGTGTGGGAGGTGTGGTGTTACAGTGTGTTTTTGGATCATCAGCTTTTGGTTAATCTGGAACGTCACTCCTCTCCTCAGATACACCACACCCCTACACACAGTCAGACACACCTACAATTGCATATGAGAGCTATGTCCTTTTTATTCACGGTTAACTCAGATATCTGCCCTAAGTGAAGGCTTGCTACTCCGTTGTTGCATAACTGGCAAAACTGCAAAGCTAATTTATGTTCACTCCCACATTGTTCCCTGCAGATCTCACCAAGGCTACTGTTGTACTCTGCACCTAATTTAGCACTGGTCTGCTCCCAGCACTGACACATTGGGAGTTATTTACGGTGAGAGTGAACAATGTGAGACTCAGGAAGGAGGAAAAATAATCAGGAACCTCTCAGTCTTGTCAAGTCGAACTTGTAGAGCATGGTCTCACAGAGAAAATATTCAAACAGTGATCAAACTTCTAGAAAATGATGCACATAGTAAACGGTTTAGGGAAAAATCTCTTTAAACTAGTTATAGTTCATTTATATATTTATTTTACTTGACTTTTAGAAAAGAGGCAGTTATTGAAATCAGGCTTCATTATTGGCAGCTCTTTCTCTTCATCTACATCTCCCCATTGTTGTGTCTTAAAACTGATCTCTTTGTGTTTATTAACTTTAACACCAACATGTCATTCAGCTGCATTGTACGAAAACTTAATTTAAGTGTCAAAATACAATATTTTATTTGACAATAAAGCTCTTTGAGTTCATACTTTTCTATTGCAGTGGGAACTACCAGAGAAGGTTTTTTGTAATCCGCGGCCACTCCAGGTGTACAGATAACTCCAACATGCTATAGTTGCAAGATGCAACTTACAGAACTTAGGGGGTTTAGGATCAGGGTTTGGGTTGGGTTATGATTGTGGTTATGGTTATAGGGCTATAGTTAGGGTTATTTTTTGATGTGTCATGGGATGATGTTTCCACGTTGCAAAACTGTGACATCACTATAATGTGACTGGTCACTTGCATTGTTGAGTCTGGACTAATATTAGTGTTGTTGATCCAGGAATGGCACCAACATGGCAATATCAGATCGAGCAACAAGTTGTATCCACAAACTCTGATTGCAACATGCAAGTCACGTTCTGTGTTCGATCCTTCCATTAAAAACACCACAGACAGGGTGGGGAGGTTCAGTGCACTCATTCTGATTCGTAAACTAAGCAGTTGACTCCTGCAGGTGTCCACCTGCCAGTTAAAACACCCTGAGGAAACTGTCCACGGAGGCTTGTATCCCATAGATTGCTGCTTAGTGTTGTGTAGATCCAGATGGAATTTAAATTTGAAGATGTCCGTGGTCTGACCCACAAGCCCTGGGTAATTGGTGCTGCAAGTAGTGTGGTAAAGGGCCTCTCCACTTTGAACCCCTCATGCCATGTTCCTTCTCATTTTTAATGCATTTCTAACTCCACATATAGAGTTTGTTTTTGTTTATAATGTTTGTAAAGATGGGTATGGTCTAAACTCTTTGGACTGGTCTGACAGTTTGAAAGGTTATGTATGTTTTGTGTACCAGTTATTACATTGGCATTAGCTGCTTGCAGACCAAAATGTGGCACACAAATCTTTTAACTTTTAGCAAGAGGTGAGATTTGAGTTTGTGTTGAGGTTAAGAGAGCCGCTAGGCCTCGGGTAATGGCGTGTTTGACAAGTTGTTGTATCTGCAACAGGAAACCGCCTGGCCTTGACAAAGGGTTTTGTCCAATGGGAGGATAACACGGAGGAAGTGGATGTATGGGAAAGCCAGGTCACAGTAAACTGTTGGTAGAGTTCCTGCAGAGCTACAAAATTTAAAAAATAAATCCCCTCGAGTTCAGTTGCAGCTGAATTTAAAATGCAGGTTTGCTCTTTGGTTTTGCACAGTTGTGCATCGTGCTTTGCTTTTAAGAAAGTATTTCACAAAAAGGGATCGTTTGTAGTGAGAATACACAAAGCAACAGTCTGTTAATTAGTTTCCCTGTTTGTGTTTTCTGTGCATTGGGATCTGCCATAGATGCACATAGTTGGTATCATGTGCGTTCCTGCCACTGGTGTCACACGAGTCAACTCATCTGCAGGTTGAAACTACAGTACTCAGTCCTCCAAACAAATATAGATGTCAACTCACCAAGTTATTTATTTTTTCCTTTCTTATTAGCTTGATTTTTGTATAAATGTTGTGCTTCCTGTCATCTGAAAGAAGTCCATTGTGTATAAACAGGAGTGGACCGACTGCGCACGACAGGGTATCGGCATATGTAGGACGCACACCATCCAGCTCTGTGCAAAAAAACAAACTGAGCAGAGCAGCCCTGAGGTCAGAGAGCAGTGAGGGCTCTTTGGCTTTCTGTGTCAGCTGACGTGGAGCTGCAATTTGCCAGAAGCTGAAACTGTCGAGCTGCTTACAGTGGAGCAATAAGACTGGAGACTACTGGGTTTGATAACCCCAGAAAAAGAGGAAACACGTCTTTTTAAGAAACATCCTCTAAGGAAATCCTGAATGGCCACAAATGTTCCTGATCCTCTTGACAAGGAGGTTGTCTAAAACGTGTCTGTGTCAGCAGGATTATTTAATAAAATTAAAATTTCACATCATATTTTGACAAATTAATATGAATATGACATGAGAAAAAAAATGGGGAAACCTGGTTGTGATGTTCTCGAGAAAATATCGCAAGTTAATCTGGATCCAGAGATTCACTTCCTGCATGAATTTTCAGACAGGTGAAAGCATGCAGCCTTGGACTGCGCTTGTTGACCTTTCGATCATATTACATGATTATAAGTTAGGAGGTGCAGTTTGTCTCATTTGTCATGTAACTGTAGGACTTCAAGCTCTTAACATCTCTTCAGTGTTTGCTTCAGTTATTTTTCCTGTTTCCTGTCCTTGATAACACCTGCAGCTTTAAAACATTTTTAAAAATTATTTTACGCAGCTGTTTTCAAAGGTGACCTCAAGTAAGCAAAAAAGGTCATTTTGCTTCCTCTATTAGGCTTTCGGTCTGGGGATATTGATGGTGTGTACTTGATTTATGCTTGTAGTGAAGTGTATGACTATGTCAGGGTGAAACACCGTCTCCAGGACATCAGTGTTTATCAGAGTCTCAGGGTGAAACAGCCGTATCTTGTCACAAGTCCAAGATGAGGGCTGAGCTGTGGATTTCCCAGAAAGCGTCACTAGGCAAACAAACCAACTGGTGCTCGAGAATGAATATACAGAGAGATGAAATGAGCTGTCACGTATTCATAGAGCAGTTAGACTCATTCCTTAAAAATTATGTTTTAAAGTTTCATTGTTTGTAAATTAAGTGTCGGCTGCTGTTACTCTGGTTAACCAGGCTTTTTCCAGTTAGGGATTTTTAATTTGGAGTAGAAAGTTGAAGTGCATAGATGTACTTGGAATCAAACAAGATCATGTTAGTGAACCTGTTAAAATTTAATTAAAAAAACTAATTTCTCTCTTTCATGCTTCTTTCGGGTTTTTCTCCTCCTCAGTTTCTTCTGTAGCCGCCATCATTCCGTGCTGTGGGGCCGACCCCAAGATGTCTTCTAATGGAGACCTAAGTGAGCTGGGGAGCTCTGAGAGCTTCTGGGAGGTACAGTAGTAACACTTTAATTGCTGTCATACATCAGCCGCTCTACAAAACTTAAAACAACACTTAACTTATTATAGCTGCAGTGTTTCAGCCTGCAGACACAGGTTTCTACCCACTCATGCTATTAATTAACCTAACAAGTTGTGAGCTTTCCAACAAGGTGCTTTTTTTCTTATTGGGGTTACGCAACTTTACCAGTCTTTTCTGGCCCATCTTTCAACTTTTTTGAAAATTCAAATTAAAAAACATCCTTTTTTGATTTTATTTAATTTTCAAACTTTCATGTTTTTTACTGTTTAAATGTTTTCCAAATCACTGCGATTTAACACCACCAACTCTAGCCTGTGAAAGGATCAACACCTGGCTCAATGTGTTCAGCACACTCTGGACACCATGACCTTCATGTACGGAGTGCTTATTGCAGGAGATGATACTTATCTAAATGTGCCAAACCGGGCGCATGTATATTTAGCTGATCAACAGCACCTGAATGCAGAATAACTAAGAGGCCGAAGCAGCCAGATAAGTCAGTGTGTCAGTCAGCCGGGTCTCCTTACATGCTTTT